CTTATCCGACTTTTCGTGCACTACTCCCTTACCTAATACTTCTCTTATCTTCCGGTTGTGATTTTTTTTTTCTAAGTTCGGTCAAGAGGGACAAAAGATAAACGCTCTCTATTACTCGAATGATCTGAAAACTAATCTCTTTCCCATTACTCCTCCATAAAAAAATAACGGTTTAACCTGAAATCTTCTCAAACAATGAATCTCTTCATATAATGGACCAATACTAGGCTTTTAGCAAATGACTCAACCTATGCATTTGTTATTTACACATTCTAATTCGAGGTGTAAATCACTGAAACTCTTTACCTACTTGTATTAACGAAAGAATCTCATTTTGGACCTTGCGAGCACCCACTCAAAATAGAAAGGGCGCACTACTGCGAGAGATAGAGCTCCCTCCTAACTACCGTAGAATCAATATCTCGTTACCCCCATACATACAATAGGTATGAGCTGTTGTAAGCACTGTTGTATGAATACACTAACAAACTACCTGGTTTTGACTAAAAGATCTTATACTAGTAAAGGCGTAGTCCTTACTTATACAACTATAACATTCTCCAACTTATAATGATCCCGTAAAAGAGAAAAAACGAAGATAATAAACCCAAAAAGGGATTTTGTCTCTCTCACAAAACAAAAACATTTGCTAATTTTTGGGCACATGCAACCCTGGCCCTCCCTCCCTTTCATCACCATCACCACCACCACCCAATCAAATTCTATCCTTTGTTTTTTCAAGAACTCACTCAAATGTGTTTGTGGAAATTAAGGTTCCTTTGAAACTAATTAAAACTTGGTTTATAATATGTTCCCCAAAATATCTTTCCCCATCTTACTTTCACTTTTCCAAGACTTCCCTTTTATGTCTTTTCTTTGTTTGGATGAAGTGGTTGAGTTCGTCAAATTTCGTAGATTAAGAGTTTAAAGCTCAAATATCATATTTGTTTTTCAAATGATAATCGAAGATGAACAAGAAAGATGGGTTTTGGAACTCTTTTGTGACTCCTTTTTCAAATTAGGATTCTCAGTCTAAAAAAACAGAATTTATAGAGCCCGTTTAGGGTTCTCGGTGACTCATTTTCAAATTAGGTCAAAAGAGACTCAATTAAACTAAACTAGAATCACCGACTGCATGCGTTGGCTAAGACCAATCAGAGAATTCTCCGATCTAGTTCCTTCTATGCTTTGGAAAATTATATATCTCTACAAAAAAAAAAAAAATTATACCACATATTAGAAAATAAAAAATTTAAAACTTTACACAAGTGGTTTAATTCATAATCTATATTAAAAAAAAAAAATTCAAATAATAAAAAGAAAATATTTTATATTTAAATTAAAATATATTTATTAGTTAAAAATAAAATGACACTTGGCCAGCATTGTTTGGGCGCGTTCACTCACGCGCATAATCTGAAGTTAGCAGCGGAACACGTGGAGAGTTGGATGACGTCTCCTTTGCCACGTTGGGAGAAGGAAACAGTTGGCAGTGTCAAATACCTATCCCTGCATAAGGACGTGGGAGCTGGGCCCCACCCGTAACGTCCAACTGGGCTCCACATGCGTGCCAGCTAGTCACGAGTGGTCAAACTACAAAAATGCAAATTAGAAATTATCCTAAAACCCAGGTATATATACACGTGGACAATTTTATGTTGTAATATTAAATATTAAATTTTATTATAAAATGGTTAAATTTATCTTGTTTACATTTTTTAATAAAAAAATATAAATTAGTCATTAAAATTTTCATTTCAAATTAATATTTTTTAAATAAATATAAAAAGATGAAAAAAAAATCTATAAAAAAACTCTATTCTAGCAAATTCCTTGTTTGAAATCCTCATCTTGATCCTCACAAAAATAAACGTACAAATAAATAAATATCGGGATAGGAGACAGATACGGAGAAGGGTTCCTCGCGGGGATAGGAGATAGATACGGAGAAGGGTTCCTCGCGGGATAGGAGACAGATACGGAGAAGGGTTCCTCGCGGGATAGGAGACAGATACGGAGAAGGGTTCCTCGCCCCACCCTCGGTTATAATATTTTTTTATTTTAATTATTATTATATTTAAAAAGTTTAATTTTAAATTAAGTTAATTCTAGCTATTTTATTATGTAATATTATCTATATATTATTTTTTGTTATTTGTTAAAATAAAATATTCACAATTCCCACCGAAAAAATTATATATAATTATTCGTGCAATGATTAATTAATTAATTAATTATACAAACGACAATTTTATTAATGTTCATAACCATACGTCATTGATTTTTTAAATTATTTTATAATTTTACTGACCAACGAAATTTAAGGCCGTGACCAATTTTATAGTCATAATACTTCTTTATTATTTTTTATTTGTTGAATTATATTTTAATTATTTGTTTTTTTCCCTATTTTTTTATCTTATTATTTCCACCAAACTTGAAATTATAGATTAATTATTTTGTTTGGTACGGTACCGAAATTGATTATTTTAATAATTGGGTTGCTTAATGATTGAACTAAATGATAACATATATTTACAAAATATATACATCGTAATTTTTGTGGGAAAGCTAATCAACCCTTTTGTTGGTTGAATCAGACATTCGTTCGAGGGTTCGGGTTTCTATGCAAAGAACATGGTGGGTTATTCTAGAATATCAGTAGTCGAGACCAATTGTTGCAATCTAAAGACTTTTTGACTACAAGGTGATATCTACTCTCTCCCGTCTCGGAAATAATTGAATATAGTTATCTAAGTCAAGCTATTTCATTCATTCCCCTCGTATTCTCTTCCACCTAAGCTTTGTTTGGTAATTATCCATTAAATACCTTATAAAAGTACCTAATTACGGTTAATAATATATAATATTTTCTCCAATTTTTTCTTTTCATAAAATCGAGCTAGAAAAAGGCTAATTTGAGCTAAATAATTCTTCTATTGACCATTCTCGAGCTATCTGAAGTGAATATTTAAATTATGAGAAAAATAAAATAACATTTTTTACGTGGTTCATCATGTTATTGATATTCACTCATTTTTTTTACTCAACGTTTTCACGTAAAAGATTGGAATTACTTAAACTTAAAAAAATACTTGAAAATATTTTTATGATATTATCATAAGCTCTCGTGTCTTCAAAATGTCCTTGATACTGTTGTTCTTTACTTATAAATTCATGAACTTTCTCCAAATTAGCCAACGTGGGACTACTCTTTCAGTAATTCTCAACACCTTACTATTAGTATATGAATGAAAACGATTCGTATTTCACTTAAAAATTACTTTTATAGTAGTTTCTCGAGTACTAATATTTAAAAAATAGAAGGGTATTGTGGAGATTTGAAGCTATTTTAAACCTTGGTAAAAAGAAAAAGGCAGTAACTTTGTAAAAAGGAACAAAACTTGGTAGTAGTCAACATCCTAAGCCATTTACATCTTAGGCAATTGAACTTTTTGCTTCATGAGTCAAAATTCAAAATTCCACCTATTTTTTTTATTATTATTATTTTTTTAAATTTTTACTTTTACTTTTACTTTTATTTTTATTTTTTTTACTTTTCATAACTAGGCTTAGCTCTTCAAGAATCAATGACCAAACATGTTCTTTTTGCAAAGAAAGTTTTATTTTTCTTTTTCAACTTAAATATCCATATATAAATATTAAATCTATTTATATTTTCTTACTTTTTTTTTATTCAAAATAAAATGAAATAAAATAGGTTTAAATTATAAATTTAACCCATTAATTAAGGAGAAAATCATAAATATATAAATAAATAACATTATTTTTATTAATACTATGTTTTTTCAAAAACTAATTTGTGATGTTTTTTCTTCATTGTTTTATTAATTTATTTAAAATTATTTATTATTATTTTTAAATAAAATATAATATATATATGACAGCGGGCCCCACAGCAACTGCAAATGAAACAAGGATGCCTCGGATCGCGACGGAACATTTTCCCCCAAAGCTGTCTGAATGGCATTGATGTAATTTAATCAACCTTCAGGGGTAAATGTGTAAAACTTTCAAACTTATTTCCCCACCTTCCTCTCCATGTGGCTCCGCATGTTGAGGGTATTCTCGGCATGACGCTATTTAGCATCGAATATTCATTATCCGTTACTAATTTAACATAATTACTTACAATAAAGCAACTTTTTTTTATCAATTTCTCCAAATTAACAGCAAATTAACACCGTTAACTTTTCCTTAATTCAACCAAATTTGAGCCATAAAGTTGGTTATTTGTATTTTTTTTTTAAATTTCTTCAATTATTAAATTACTTTTAAATAACTACATAGCTCTATTTTCAAATTAAATAAAAAATAATAATATATTAATTAACTAAATTTATTATTGGCTTCATAGTTATTTAAAAGAAAAAGGTTTTCTTCCATTATTAAAATACTTTTAAATAACTACATTAATTAATAACATTTATTATTTATTAGTAAAACTCTTCGTAATTTTAAATAACTACAACCGTTCTATTTTCTAATTAAATTTAAGAAAAGTTATTCTTCAAATATTAAATTACTTTTAAATAACTAAAACGGTTATGTTTTCTTAAAAAAAAAATACATTAATTAACTAAATTTTCTCTTCAATTATTAAAATAAGCATTAATATTCGAATTTTCAATTAAATAAAAAGCAATACATTAATTAACTAAATTTATTCTAAGAAAAGTTTCTCTTCAATTATTAAATTACTTTAAAATAATTTCACCGTTAAGAAAAAGCAATACATTATTAATTAACAAAATTTATTCATAATTCTTTTTTATTAAAATTACTCCGAAATAGTTAATTAAATTAAATAGCAAAACTATTTGTCATTATTTAATAGAAAAGTTTGGCTTCAATTATTAAATTACTTTTAATAATTACAACTGTTTTTTTGGGTGAATTAATTAGATTTAATAAAAAGATAATAATAAAGGGAGAGGAGGGGTAGAATGGTAAAATAGGAGATAATAAAAAGCAAGAAGTAGAGGGAAGAAACTCTGGGCGATTTGTATTAGCAGTAGCGGTAGGAATCGACAGTGGAAGGAGGAAGTTCCTCGCAGGAAAAGCCGCCTCTCATGCCTCATTTCCTTCATCTTTTCTTCTCCTTTTGATTTTCTTTAATTCAGAGATTACTCTGTTCTTTCTTTTCTACCAATCTCCTCTGTATGATCCACGGCGTTTTTTGTGCGCTTGGAAAATGCGGGAGGCACTGGCGTCTGAACAGTCTAATGAACTTGTTTCTTCTACTCACAAGAAGAAGAAATCCGATGATGATAAGGTAGAGAAAGATTCACATAAATCGATGCCGCACTTGCAGATGGTGGCTGTTCCTCCGGTTGTTGTTGTGAATCGTAGTCGATCTCAAGCGAGTTCGAGAAGGGTTACACCCACTACGTTAACGATTAATTCTTCCATAGCCACGGTGGGTATTGACTCTGTTTCTGGCGATGGTACTGGAATTGTTGCGTCGACGGCCGTGGAGAAGCACCTTCCGAATGGGGATCTGTACATTGGGAGTTGCTTGGGGAGCGTGCCGCATGGATTGGGTAAGTATTTATGGACGGATGGGTGTATGTATGAGGGTGAGTGGAAGAGGGGGAAGGCCTCGGGGAAAGGGAAATTTTCTTGGCCTTCTGGAGCCACGTATGAGGGGGAATTCAAGTCTGGTCGGATGGAAGGGATTGGCACTTTTATCGGATCTGACGGCGACATGTATCGTGGGTCATGGAGTGCAGATCGGAAACACGGTTTTGGCCAGAAATGCTACGCCAATGGCGATTTCTATGACGGAACCTGGAAGCGAAACGTTCAGGACGGAAATGGCCGGTATGTATGGAAGAATGGTATTGAGTATGTAGGTGAGTGGAAGAATGGGTTGATGTCCGGCCAAGGGGGTTTTATTTGGGCCAACGGGAATCGGTACGAAGGTCAATGGGAGAACGGAGTTCCGAAAGGGAATGGGGTTTTTAGTTTGCTTGACGGCAGTAGCCATACCAGTGAATGGAACAATGAAATGAAAATCCAGAGCAACGGGGTTGCTGAGAATGAGAATCTGACGGTAACACTCAGGAAAAGGTCTTCAGTGGACGCTGCGAGAGGCAGCTCGACGGAGAGGAATTTTCCGAGGATTTGTATTTGGGAATCGGACGGCGAAGCCGGTGATATCACTTGTGATATACTCGACAATGTGGAGGCCTCGATGTTGTATCGCGATGGGTTTAAACAGTTCAGGCGAAATCCTTTCTGTGTAACGAACGATGCGAAGAAACCAGGCCAAACGATTTCAAAGGGGCACAAGAATTACGAACTCATACTCAATCTCCAACAGGGTATAAGGTAATAATCGAAGAACTGCTAGTTTTGTAGGGTTTTTTCTGTGCTCTGTTCTTGATTGGATTTTTCTGGGGTTTCTCTAGGTACTCTGTTGGGAGGCACGCTTCAATCCTTCGGGACCTTAGGCCAAGTGATTTCGATCCGAAAGAGAAGTTCTGGACGAGATTTCCACCGGAAGGGTCGAAAGTGACGCCTCCTCATCAATCGGTGGAGTTTCGATGGAAGGATTACTGCCCCTTGGTGTTTCGGTATTCATTTTTTTTCCAAGTTTCTGTTCAATTTGATCTTTGTTGTTCAATCCCTGACTAACTTTTCGTTGCAATGCTCATCTAACAGGCATTTGAGGGACCTGTTTCGAGTTAATCCTGCTGATTACATGCTAGCCATTTGTGGAAATGGCACCCTTAGAGAGCTCTCTTCTCCAGGAAAGAGTGGAAGTTTCTTCTACTTAACCCAGGATGATAGGTTTATGATTAAGACGGTGAAGAAATCCGAAGTTAAGGTCTGTTGCATAATCTAATTGGCTTTGTGTAGTTTGGATTGCATAATATGTTGGAGGATGATCATTGATGAAATTTAGTACTTATTTTTCAGGTTCTCATTAGGATGTTGCCAAGTTATTACGATCATGTATGTCAGTACGAGAATTCTCTCGTGACGAAATTCTTCGGCGTGCACTGTGTAAAACCAATTGGTGGGCAGAAGGTGCGTGGTGTTTTACTCTGGACTTTGGTTTGTCATGATTTAGTGTGTTGTTCTTAACTTAATCTTTGTATTGGAACTAGACGAGGTTTATTGTGATGGGCAACTTGTTCTGCTCTGAGTACCGAATTCATCGACGTTTTGATCTAAAGGGATCCTCCCATGGTCGAACAACTGATAAGCCTGCTGAAGAAATTGATGAAACGACTACACTTAAGGATCTTGATCTTAATTATGTGTTCCGCCTTCAGCAAAGTCGGTTCCAGGAATTTATCAAGTAGGTTTCAACTCAGAATATATGGTTCTTGCATTTGCTATCGACTCGGATTGAAATCTAACTCTGAAAACATGACAGGCAAATTAACCGAGACTGTGAGTTCTTGGAAGCTGAGAGAATCATGGATTACAGTCTTCTGGTTGGTCTTCATTTTCGGGACAAAAATCGATGCGACAAGATGGGATTATCGCCATTTCTATTGCGATCTGGTAAGGATTATGATCTCCACAACGCAGTCATGTGCAAAATATTTGCTGGGGGATTTGATAAGCTAAAAACCACTTGTGTGTTATCTTGCAGGTTATAAAGATTCTTATCAGAATGAGAAGTTTATGCGTGGCTGTCGCTTTCTTGAAGCAGAGCTGCAGGACATGGATCGAGTTTTATCTGGCCAGTATGTTTCTTGTCCATTTCTACTGTTTTTGTTCTACCAGTGAACGTATTGTGTTTACGTTTTAATCTTCCTTCTTAGACATACTTAGACATACTTATTAAGGATATGTGCACTGGTTTTTAACCCAATATGTTCGGTTTCGATTTGTTTTATCCAGGAAACCTTTAATTAGGTTAGGAGCCAACATGCCAGCACGAGCAGAGCGAATGGCAAGAAGAAGCGACTTCGATCAGTATAACCCTGGCGGGACGAGCCTCTTGATCCCATCAAGGAGTGGCGAAATCTATGAAGTTGTCCTATATTTTGGGATCATTGACATCCTACAGGACTACGACATCAGCAAGAAATTGGAACACGCATACAAATCCTTACAAGTCGATTCCACCTCTATATCAGCAGTTGATCCAAAGCTCTACTCGAAAAGATTCCGCGAATTTATAGGGAGAATTTTCATTGAAGACAGGTGAATAAAACCAACAAGAAGATGGGATGGCCAACTATCATCCAATCTACAAAGATTCCCAACCAAATCTTGGATCAAACCACCAGAGACTTGAAGAGAGTACGGTTGCGTGCGATCTCTTCCATGCTCCATGTTGTTAGAGGAGAGGCAACGTGCATGGATTAGGCGCTCAAAAACCAGTTACAAGTTGGGAAAAAGGCCTGGCTTCATTGGCAGATGCACAGGTGGTATTTATGGCTGATTTTGCAGAGCAGCCAGAGTGTAGAGGCGGTGGCGGTGGCGGTGGCGGTGGCGTTAGAGTGGTTCTTTTATTATATATATATGTACATTCAGTGCTAGAAAGAGGGAGATATTAAGTATTGAAAGGGTTCCCTCAACGTTTGTTTGGTTTTCATGGGGTGATATCTTTTTGATTATGAAGATTTGAAAGATAGGATACAGAGAGAGGGGGGCTTGGAATAAGAGAATTGTACAGGGTGGGGGGGGGGGGATTGATTAGGTT